TTAATTGGAGAAGTCACAAAACGATTGCGAAATTACAGAACAAATGTTTAATAGTTCAAGCACCAAATACACTTAGACACATATAATATAATGCATTAAATCATAGAAAGGGTAGAAATTATGTTGGTGCTACCACAAAAGCTAATATCTTCACTCTTGTGGGTACGACCAATCAGCACCAAATGTCTGTATTTACCCTTCAAATGACGTTAAATTATATTGCAGTAATATTATATGCACCTTTCTTTCTTTACAGATTTTACTCCTGGGAACAAAAATGAAGATATTTAGCTACAAAGTTATGGCATGGAAAGTTTTGCCTATGTTTAATTTGGCAACAAAGACCTAACCCATTTCCAATCAGTCGTTTTATTCTAGATGCAATAACTATTACTCCGACCATTTAAATGGCTTTAATTTCCATCTTGTGACTGCAGTCAACATTTTCTCTAAATTGTAAATGACGGGAAAAATATTCCCTCTTCAAACCAGCAGTCCTCATCTGCCATTTACAATTACAGTATAAACCAACACAAAGCTTGACACGAGCGGAAACCACTTCTGTCAGTTTGTGTGAAATTGCAGTTTTTAATGACGGGCGAATAAACGAATCAGTCGCTGAGCATCGAGAGACAGTCGAGGCAGAGCTGAGGCAGATGTAATTTCTTTAACGGCCGTACCTCATAAGCCCTGTGGTTTGTGATGAAATAAAAGCGGGTAGTTGCTGATGTGGTGCAAGCTGCGACTTTTCTCCGGCTAAATCCAACCCCATCCCTCCAACACCAATCTCTGAGGATTAATTCCCCTTTGGGAGACCCGCGCTCACCTCTCGCCGGCCCGGCTGCCAGCTCACTGTTGGAGCGAGCCTCGGCTATGATGATGATTTATGAGCCGCAACAGAAGTGGACTGACTCACACTTTCCATTGTAGTTTATTTTTCGATTATTGTTTGATGCTTTTCTTTCTTTTTTAAAAATAAGTTTAGAGGAATTTCTGAGCAGCAAAGTGGAGAAAAGTTGAACCAAAGAGACTCTTAGACTCTTTGCTGGCTCACTGCTTTGAAGGATTGTACCTCATCCAAACTCCTTAACTAACTCCTTAACTACCCATTTGTTGCTGTGGTAAAGTGTTTGCATCTTTGAAAGTATAAAAGATTCAGTTGTATTATTTAGTTTTTTTGTTAAGCCTCGTTATCACAGCATCACGAGCCAATCAACACCTGTTTCTTAGTTCACAACGTCGGTTTCCTGAGGTAGCGCCGGCCCAGCAGATCGGAGGTCACACTCTGTGTGTGTGTGTGTGTGGGTGTGTGTGTGTGTGTGTGTGTGTGTGTGTGTGTGTGTGTGTGTGTGTGTGTGTGTGTGTGTGTGTGTGTGTGTGTGTGTGTGTGTGTGTGTGTGTGTGTGTGTGTGTGGGTCAGGGGTTATGCTTGTCAACAGAGCTCAGCCATTAGATCTGAGTTGGAGTAGTTTCATGGACAACTGTTCACTGAACAAAACACCTGAAATAAAACAGGAAGTCCGCTGCTGTCGGTCGAAAGATTCTTCTGTTCATTTCACTCAAGAGTTGGAAAAAACTGGCATTAATGACGAACTATTTTAACTAATTGTTTAAATTCAGTACAGTGGACCTCCAACTATTTGCGTTTTATTATTATTTTTTCTCCACTAAATTCAAAATAGTTTGTGGAAAATTCATTTTTGTGGATCTAAAATATTCAAAAGAAAATGCAGCTGGGAAACTGGCATCCAAACCATTTCAGATGTTTTGAGTTGTTTGACTGAAATGTGTTGCAGAATGCAGCCGAACATTTGCGCCGCCAAGGCAACCTGATTGTTTTCATCCGTTAATCAGACTGTAGTCACTCTACCAAACACATGAAAAGCAGCAGATTTATGAGAAAGAACATTAAGACACTAAAATCTAAAATATTTAGTCTTATCTTTGCTTGTGCATCACTTTTCATTAATATCAGTAAACCATAATATTGGTAACTTTTGTTGGAAAGTGAATTCAGCATATTTCCAAGTTTCTGTCCAAATATCAGACAATGATCTTCTTAAAAGTTAACAGAAATTAAAAAAAAAACTGATCAGTGTCGATGTTTTGGTGTAATTCTGCATCCACTGGTTAAAAAGAGCCCCAGTTAATCTTTTAATGTTTTTCATCAGAAGTGCAGGTTGCAGTTGTCTTCTTCACTGAAACTGAGAGTCTGTTCAACAGAAACGGCGACGGCAGTCGACTCTGACGACTGCGTCTGTACAGAAACACTGAGCTGGTAAAGATAAAGTCCATGCAGTTGCAGCTTGCGTTAATAAAACAGGAGAAAATGAGAACATTGCTGCTTTTAATATTGAAACATCTTCTTTATTGGTTGTTTGTAATATAGAGTCAGTTTGTGCAGGAACAATTATTTCTGACTGGTCTGGAAGGCTTTCGGCGTGTTTACTGCTGGACTTATCACCGTTACAACATTTGTTTCCTATCAGCTTCCCTGCAGCAAGCTTTTGTTTTCCTATTAGAACAATATGTATTGCCGTGTCGTGATCTGAATGTGTGCATATTGTAAGCAAAATTATCTCAAACACTCATATGTTGCAGACTATGTTGAAAACAATTAAATGCATGTTTTCTGGTCGCAGTTAATTGGATGAAGCAGAAACTTTTCAGGTCCCTTTGGGCTTTTCTGCAGCTACAGAACGATTGAAAAACACGTTTTAAAATGCAACTTTCAGACTTCTTAGAGGGTTTACAACTTGTAAGGAAATTTATGAGGCTTGCTGAGGGTGTTTTCTGCTTTCTTTGTTTTGTTTTTTGCCTTTTAATTGAGATCAGATCGGATCAGCCTGAACACATTTTTCCTATACAGTGCACTGCAGCTGAACTGATTGCCTTGTAATGGCGACCACATGGGCTGCAGCAGCACTGGAGGCTGGATGGGGAGTCCTCAGGGAAAGGTCCGGGGAAGGGAATGTTTCCCTGACTCAGCTCCTCTGAACTGAGTCGAGCTCTAATGAGGGAAGAGTAGAAGTCCTCTTGTCAGTCACACATGCAGGAAGTTTTATATTGCACGCATAAAAACACACAATCCAAGACGAAGAGAAACGTTTTTACTGCTTTTTCCCACGTGTGTTACTAAAACATGAACCACACACACCTGAGCAAACATGCTTGCTGTTAAGTTTTACCGTTTCCCTCCTTCATGCACACACACTCTCAACCTTTCACCGCGTCTACATGTATAGCCTCAAGCTGCATAATTCGCTAATTTGAACTAAATGTGTTCACATTTATGTAAAGGAGCTAATTGGAAAAATGTTTGGGTGCCCTGGAGAGCTGCTGCCGCTCATCGGGGACTCTGTCCGGCACGCTGTAAAACTCCCGGCCTATCGGACTAAATGTGGCTGCAAAGAAAGTTTAATGTACCGGAAAACTGCTGCTGGGGGTTGAATCATGCGCCTGTCATCAGTGTGGGTTGTGACTACATCTATGCTTGTGTTCAGATTTTAAAGTTTTATAAACTCCAATTGAGATATTTGTCAAATATTAACTAGAGAAAATATGGATTGAGTTTATTATTGGAATAATTTCAAGTCAGTCTGACTTTTAAGCTATGAGCTAATTATTATATCCATGACTCCCTCTCTCTCTTCTTGGCAACATTTGAAGGAGATCAGTTGCAACTAGATTAGCGTTTCAAAGTTAGCAGAGGTGCTAAATGCTAAGCTAATCTGCAAACTTTAGCTTCCAAATTAGTAGAAGTGTAGATTTTTGTTCTTTACAAAACTTTCATCTTCTTTTTGCTCCTAACTTTAAAGGTATTTGATCTTCAGAGCTTGTTGAGTTTGAACTCTCAGGATAAATAACAACATCTGAACTTTTCCCAAACCACCAATCTCTGCCGGTTATCCAGAGATCTTCCTTGCTTGACTTGTGTTTTCAGGGATGAAGGTGCATCGACTTATTGCTGTAGGTTTTCAGTTTTGGTTTTCTTTTCATCCTATCTTTGCTGATTGTGACTCTACTTGGGTCTCCAAAGCTAAGTTGAGCTATAACTGAAATTGAAAGGAGAAACCAGAACATCTTGTTGGCCTCAGAAGGTTTTGTATTTTCTCCTGTTCGCCATGAGATGTTTGATAACTTTTTCTCTTTAAATTCGTCCTTTTTCTTTCTTGAATCTGCATGAACGTTTGACATTATCAAGCTCGGCTTCTATATCAGATCTCACCATGAGGGACAGCTGAAGGTCTGAATTGGCAAACGCTGGATGAGTTTTTCATTTTCTTCCTCATTTAAGTAGAGCCAGCTGGGCCTGGTGGGAGTCTCAGAGCGACGCCACGAATCTCATCTTTAATCTAATAAAAGGGCTCTGTGGAGGCTGGAATTAATCAGATCTGTTAGGAAGAGGAGCTTTGAACAGGAGGATGATGGAGAGAAAAATTGTGCAAGCATTTTGGGCGAAAAGAGAATCCGATTGGACCTAATGAACGAGAGTCGTGTTGAAAGAGAATCACCTTCTTCCTCCAGGCTGAGTGTGCGGTCCTGATCCATTTCAGCTACGATGGGACCACCACCGCTGGGTCCACATCTAAACAGAGTTTATTTCATTCCAGGCTTTAATTTCAGAGTAAAAACATGGAAGAATTTCTGAGTAATGATTGGACCAAGTTCAGCGGGAAACGCTACCATCAAAAGATCTAATTTAGTAAGAATAAATTAATTTATTGGAAAGATAAATAGACTGAGTTTGAGTTTCCACTGAATGTTTATTTAAAACTTTTTGTGGTTTTAGAATATTTAGATATTTGGGATATATTCATCTATTATTATGATTCATTGACATGAGTTAAAACTCAGAGGCTGACTTCAGATTTAAATTCTTGTTGAAATGAAGAATTCTGGATTCCTCTTATCCGTCCGTCTGTCCGTATTCCTCCTTCTCCATCGTTCTGTACAGCAGTTTCTTAACTCCGTTCTTCATCTCCTCTGTCGTCCTGCAGCTGATCGCCGTCTACGATGAGCAGGAGCCCCATCACGGCGGCGACGGCACCAGCGCCAGCTCCACCGGGACGCAGAGCCCCGACCTGTTCGCCACAGACCTCGGCGCCGGCAGCGTCGCCTCGGCGTTCCAGCCCTACCAGAACGCCAGCGAGATCGAAGTCACGCCTTCGGCCCTGCGCACCAGTGAGTCCCTTTACCAGAGGAGGAGAGAGTGTAGACGCAATTAGAAACGAAGCCATTACTTCCAAATGATCAATTCCTCTCACCGTATATTCT